GCCAGTCAATGGCAATTTTCCGCCTCGGCCAGAGAGGGAGAGGAAGGAGAGGGTGAGAGACGGGAAGATAAATTAGGGCAGGGGCTCCTTCTCGGCTAGGATCTCCTTTTATTTTTCCCAGTACCTCCTCCTCCTCCTCCTCCTGCTCCTGCTCCTGCTCCTGCTCCTGCAGTCCTGCCGCTAATAAATTGCCCAACAATTGTGCAATTTTTCATAGATGGAGAATTGCACGGCGACCTTGAAGGCAAAGACTTCACGCTCGGATTTGCTACCGTTTTTCTTCTTCTCGGTTTTTATTTTTGTCTTTTTTTTCGGTTCTTTAATTTTTCCAATCAATGTTTTTCTGGGTCTACACAGGGAGAAACGGGGAGAGAAATTCAGAATAAACTTGTTACGAAATTAATGCAATTTAAAAGGAGTAAGAATTGTAATGGAATAAATAATATTAGTTTGAAGGAGTCATTTCCAACCCTAAAAAATATAATATATTATCAATCAGTCTAATCAACAGACGAGTTGATCTAGGCTGTTAAATAAAATATCTCTCAACTTTCTAAAATGTTATAAAAATGTTTAAACATGTAAAACATGTTTAAAAGCTGTTCCCACTTCTAAGTTTTTTATTACTGATCCTGATCTTCAATATATACTTTACTTTTCTCTTAAAATATAGATTTTCCAGTGTGTTAAGCATCAATTTTCTTCTCTGTGTCATTTTTCCCCGCTATATATACACACTCACACTCCCCCCCTGGCAAAAGGGAAAAACGTGCGGCGGCAAGGACATCTAGATAAAGTGGCAAGTAGGTAGAGAGGGGCAGGAGGAGAGTTAGGAGCCGGGGTGTACGGTAATCTTAAATCACACGCCGCATACACTGATAGCGCCAGGAAGCACGGCAGGACCCACAATCCTTGGTCCTGGACAGCTGTTCGGGGATTAGCACAGGGCACAGGACACGGGGAATCTCGAAGGCTCCCTCTTACTTTCTTCGTTCTTTCACCTTTCTTCTTCTCCTTCTGCAAATTATTATTAAAAACCTGGCCCTAAATTATGGGCCATAATTTAGAATTCCAAGGAGACAGAGACGTAGAAGGAGAAGGAGAAGCTCCCCTGTCTTGCTCATACATATATATATTTGTATTTGCACAGGGCTTCCCTCGGCGAGTCCTGCGAGGTCCTGCGAGTCGCATATTTGGTTAAGGCTGCCTGAACCCAGATGCATCGGCTAACTTGATTGATTTGGGATCTGCCATTGACAGGCAGGCACTTCACCAGGGGCATCGGGTTATTTGCCCAGGATTCCCAAGGACGATCGTCCTTAGGTGATGCCAGCGAACACAGCGAATAATTGGATCTGGCTCGGGGAAAAAATATTAATTGAAAGGGGGGAATAAGAGAGATTATGTATTGTACTAGCTGGGAAATAAGTTGAAAAAATAACTGGAAGAAAAACCCGAAGAAAACCCCTACAATAAACTATACTGTAATCCCTTTAAGATCGACATTTTTTTGTGGTTGAGTTAGAGTTTAATAATAAAGAAGGAGGAGGAAAGGAGTTAGCTTTGGGAAACCGAAATTTCTATACACTTGCATAGAAAATCCTGCATATCAAAAATGCATTAATTTTGATTCGGAAAGCTGTCCTATGCTAGTTTTTAAAAGGTTAATAAATCTGCATACTCAGTTTAAAATGTAAATTTTTTAAAGTTTTTTTATAAAATTTATAAAAATTTATAAAATTTTTAAAAAAAATTTGAAAATTTTTTTATTCTCCCAGACATGGCTAGATCGATTCGCCTGTTGATTCTGATCAAGAATATATATGATTTATAGGGTCGGAAAGGACTCTTTCCCTAGGTTTTAGGCTTCTGACTGAAATTAGAATACCCTAAAAGGTAATACAAATCTTAAAATATATCTGAAAAATAAATATAGAAATAAATAATAAATTAAGACTAAGGAAAAGTGAATTTAGGAATACATAATATTATAATTTATTAACCCTTAGAAGTATTTATAAATATATTACATCAATTTGAATATTATTATTATTAAATATTACAACAAATTCTCTATTATTCCCTTTACCTCTATTTATTATACCTTTAATATCAATCAATTCTTGAATATTTATGCTTATATCCCTTGTGCCAAATGATATCCTATCCCTAAAGTAGAAAAATCGTCTCATTAATATAATGTATGCTGATCGTAAACGGGACATTTGTCAGACATTATGATCCTGATGGAAATCGGAACTTGACAAATGCCAAGTGAACTGACACCGAAAGGCATTCAATTTCAATTTCAATATCAACCCGATTGCTTCGGGGGGCGGGTGTATTGGGTTCACTCTCTACGCGGGAATGTTAATCTTTGCTCTCTGCCGAAATTCCCACACGAAATTCCAACGCACTTCCTTCCTTTGAGGGAGAGAGAGAAATAGAGCGAATGAGACGGAATATAAGGGAGACAGGGAGGGAGCAATACAGAGAGAGAGAGAACGAGAGAGAGATCACGGGAGAGGCGCCATCTCACCTTCAATATTGAAAGGTGGTTGTTCAATCGCAGTACAGAGCAAGAAATTGGGATGAGTTATTTGGGGTTTACTTTCACAGGATGTGTATTAGGAGTTTATAGGAAATTATTCTTTTTAAAAAGTTCTCTGTCTTAAATGAAGGCGTAGTAAATGTGTGCCTTAAAATTCCCAAGTACGAATTTGGTGAAACAAAAAGAAATATTAGAAAATATGCATTATACATATCAAATTAACGATATTTTATTACCTATCCTAATACCTTGATCTTTCTTTTTAAAGCATATGATTTAAGTATTCGATTTTTAAACAATTTTACTATCTTATTAAATTAATCAAATTTTTTAAGCCGCGTAATCTAGTTTTTCCCAATCTTTAGCTTAAGCCATATTAATTTTTTACTATTTTACTATTTTATTACTTTTAAAATATATTTAAAATTTAATTTTAAAAACATCTACATACTTTTCAAGTATGTCAAAGTGCATAAAGTGCGATAAACTGTGACTTTAAAGTGTTTAAAGATGTCAAACTCTACAGCATTTGCTTCAATTCTCTCCCAAACTGAAACGTACTCTTTTTCGCTGAGTGTAAACCGAGAGAGAACCCTCAAGGAGTGAGAGGACAAACCGTAGCCCGGCGAGGTGAGTATGCAACTTGGCTTCCAAGGGAAGAATCAGTCATTTTGCATCTGTGGAAACGACAGGACCAGGACCTCTTCCGTTCCTGCAAGATCGCGAGCAATCAAACAAGTTAAAAATCTTGATTTATTAGTGCTTCTTCGACATATTTTTTTTTTACCGTGCAAGTCAACGAAATTATATTATATTATATATATTTTTTTGCCTGTGAAACGCGGAAAATTCAACAATTAAAGAAAAGGTAAAGATGCCAGTGAAGTGCATGAAATGGAACATCCGAATAAAAAAAAAACATGTGTGCAAAAATGTACATTAAAAATGCATTAAAGCAGAAGTGTCTGGACCTTAAATTAAATTAAAAGAGGAGAAAAAAAAAAACACACACACACACACAAAAAACACCCCATAAAAATTGACTGAAAAATGCATAAATTGTGCGCGTGCGATTTTTGGGCAAATGAAGGGGTTTTTGGCTTTGGCTTTGGCTATGGGTTAAGCTCTTGGGTTTGGGTTTGGGTTTGGGTTCGGGTTTGGACTCCTCGGAGGCCAAGTGCTCGAGTGCTCTTCAGACCAAAACGAGAGCGCGGCGGCTGCAAAATGCGCAAAATTGCTAGCACGCATCCCAAGAGCTTGCCCTCCACTAGGAGTCCTCCTTCTGCTCCTCTACCCTTCTTTTGCCCTCGACCAAGTCCAAGTCCAACTCCTCCTCCACTCAAGTGGCCGGAGATCGACACCGGAGGAGTATGAGGATGCGGATGCGGAAGCGGAGGAAGCAGAAGGAGAGTGTGCCATCAGCACCGCCACCACCACCATTTTTATAGAAATTCACTCAGAGAAAAGGTTTTTAGTTACACAAAGTAAAAGAGAGTAAAAAAGCTTATTAAATTAAAAAGAAATTAAGGCTTAAATCATTGATTTTGGTTAGAATTTTTGTATGAATGTTAAAGATAAAAGTTTATATTTATACAGAAAAGACATATTCTAAGAGCTTATTTAATTAAATAAGTAGTTAAAACTTAAATTATTGAATTCAGTTAAGGATTTTAATAAATATAATTTGATATTAGTGAAGTTTTAAACATAAAGTATGTTCATTTTCCTTAGAGAACTTAAATTCTACTTTGCTATAAAGTTTGTTTACGAAAATGTGAGGTTTAATAAACAATTAAATAACTAACAAACTTTTTTACATTTTTAGTTTAACTTTTTCCTTAAAACCTATAAAGTTTTCTTTTCAAAATTAAAAATATTAACCATATAATCATGGGAATAATTTATAAAATCAATAGATTTATGATATTTATATAATTTCATCTTATTTTTTCATTTAAAAGTAAAGCTTTTTCAAGTTAAATTAACTAGTATTTTGGCACAGTGCACTCAGAAAAAGCTGAGAAGCCGCGAGGCAAATTTTGCGAAGCCTTCGATAGAGAGAGAGAAAAGGAGTTGAGTCGCAGCTGGAGGGCAGGCGGAGATCCAGAAAACTGGCCGAGCTTTAGCGCGCTTTTCCTTTGTTCGCTGCTCCTTTGTGCCTGCTCAATTGTTTGCAAGGACGAAGCCAGGAGCCTTAAAACCAGAACCAGAACCAGAAGCTGCTTGCGAAAATCCTTGCCAAAATCCCTGCCAAAATCCCTGCGAAACTCGTTTCCTTTGCCCCTACAAGTTAATCGAGTTTTGCGCCTCGCCTTATTATTTTTTGTGGGGTTCCTTCGAGATTCCCTCCAGGAGACAACAATTGCTAACTGGCCCTATCCAATTTTGCTACTTTTTAGGATCACAATCACTGCTTAAAGAAAGAGGATAACAGACAGCAGCTGGCAAGATGCTCAAGTGGGCTGTCAACCAGCCGCGAAACTCGTATTTGTCCCTGGGCATGGGAACGGACATGGAAACAGGCTCCTCGCTGGAGTCCAAGGCTGTGACCACCACTTCCACAACCAGCTACAGCGAGTTCCATGCCCTGCGGGGCAAGCTCAAGCGGAAGTCACTCTGTGTGGGCCAGGGAAAGGAGAACCAACTGACCTCCACACCGCTGCCGGCCAGCTCTCTGGCACCCCGAACGCCACTCCTCAAGGATCTAAGCAACATCCTGGCCACACCACCCTCAGGAAAAGGAATGGGAGCGGGAGTAGCAACAGGATTACAAGGAGGAGCAGTTGCTCCTCCCAAATACGCCTGCACTTTGCCCACCTTTGAGGCGGAGTACTCCCCTACGGCAGCTGTAATCCCTGGTCCCCTGATCGCCCTACGGGGAATGGGTGTTCCGGATAGTTACTTTGAGAAGCCACGCTACCTGGAGCAAAAGCCACTACCACATCCTGCTGCTCCACATCCCACTTCCCAGCAGGAGCAGCAGCAGCAGCAGAAGGAAGGGAGCACCACACTTAGTTCCAGCCAGATGGGCGATGTGACCCTGGAGCGGATGATCGATGCCATTCTGGAGAGCAATCGCAAGGCACCTTCGTCCAAGGCAAGGCCACTGCGACAGCGCCAGTCGAGGCAGCATCTCCGCCAGCAGCAGATGCGGCACAGGCAGCAGCTCCTGAGAGTCACCTCAAGCTCTGGACTCCCCTCTGGAACCCACTCGCCCACCTATCGTCCTGCCTTTGATCCGGCCAGCGATCTGTGCGAGTACTGGAAGTCGCCCTCGCGAAGGGATTCCCTGCCAGCCGATGGCTTCGAGGAGCGGGAGGTGCGTTCGCCCCAGGTCACCAGTACCTCCGTTGCCTCCCAGACCAAGTCCAAGTCTAAGTCCAAGTCGCTTCAGTTGCAGCTGCGAAGGCAGCGAGTGGTGCGCCGGAAGCGAAAGATTGCCACCAAAATCTCGTCCAGCGTGAGGCAATCGGCGCAGAAGCTACTGGCTGCGGCCAGGGCTGGTACCGGAACTGGGACAGGTGTGCCCAGTCACCGGAGTTCGCAGAAGAGGCGCCACATTAGTCCGGACAGTGGACATAACTCCACCAGTGACTATGAGGAGGAGCTGACCGCCCTTGGAAGCTGTGCTCCTGGTTTGGTCGAAGCGGGCACCAAGCGGCGGTTGAGCTTCTCCTTTCCCGAGGATTTGTTTGTGGAGAAGTAGGTTTTTTTATTTTATTTTATATATATATATTTTTTTTAACTATAAACTATGTGTATTTTTTTCCGAATGGCTAAAAGCGCAGACTTGCCTTGGCATCCAAATGTTGAAACAGATCCTATAAACTAAGAGTATTTCTTTTTTTTTTGAGAGACAAATAAAATATTGATTTGAAAATGAAAATTGTGTTGATTTATTAAAATACAAATAAGTTAAAATGTATATTTTTAAGGTCTAAAATATACTAACTCTCTTTATGTAATGATTAATTATTTTTTCCCTAACTAAACCAACTGAAAATATATATTTTCAGTTTAAATTTCCAGTTCCTTACCTTCCCATCTTGTTATCCTTGTTAGAACACAACTATTAATTAAGGATAAACGTCATTTTTGGGATCATACTTGCCCATTTCTTGAGGATTACTCAGCATTATATTTATTAAATGAGTGAAAAATGCGATTCTCACGGATCCTGGACGTGTTCCGCCCTCCTGAATTCATCATCAGGATATATGTACGGGTGCACAGGATACTTGTTTTCCTTGGCGGGGGTGTTACCCTAGTAAAAATGTTTTGCGGCATATCCTGCTAGTCCTTGACACGGCACTTATCACGCACCTGTGCACCGCCAAATGGCCACGGACAGGCGGACAAAACGTTGGGCATTTGCATAAATTTGCATAGAATCGAACAGAAATTGTTTTTTATTTTATTTTGTATATGGCCAGGATTCGACGAGGTCCTTGGTACACTGTACTTGCAGATCTGTGACTGCAAGGCAACCAACCGGAAACGGGGCACTGACAGAAATTAGGGGAAACAAATTGTTAAATAAGTATTTAGAAAGTGTTTATATAATCAATATTTTAAATATATTATAAATATATAAAATATCTAAATGTATATATATATATATATAAATTTTACGAATTTTCCTGCATTCTTTTGCCAAAAGAGTGGCGTTTTAGCTTAATATACATTTTTTCTTGTTTTTAAAGTGCCAAAAAATATGTCTATTATTAGAAATATTTATAAAATGTATTTTAAATACAAAAAACAATATTTCACAATATTTTCAGTCTTAACAAGGTTTAACTTCACCAGTTTTCTTTCCCCTTTTCTGTCAGTGCACTCGAAGACTGTGACTGTGCTAGCCAGCGATCCATAACTAAGTTATGCTAGTTATATATGTGTATAAAAAAAATATATATATAGGAACAAGATCCTGAGAGGGCGGCGGAAAATGGAAAATTGTACGGTTTGATACGGCTGCCAGCTGGCCAGGAGCTGAAAAACGAAAGTAGCCAGGTTTAAGGGGAAATAATCATAATTTAAGGCAGATTTAAGGAGTTGAAAATATACAAAAAGAGATCTAAAGAAAATATTTAAAACGTTGAAAAGAAAATAATAATAATTTCAGGTTAATAATAGTTTAAAGTATAAACAAAAATATCTTAGACAAGAAAGAAAGCTAACTTCGGCACGCCAAAGTTTGTACGTATACCCTTGCAGATTGAAATTCGATCACTAAGAATTAATACAATATAAATTATATATATTTATGTTATTTTTAACGATCGTTTGTTTGGCAGCTATATAATATAGTAGTCCGTTTTTTATACAATTTTAGGCAAAATTCTGGATTAATATTTAATGACTATATATCAAATTTGATAAAAAAACTCTGTTGAAAACTGGAAAAGTTATAATATTTTTTTCTTACAATTTTCCTATCGTTCCTATGGCAGATATACATATGTATATATATATAGTCCACCGATTCCCCATGATCCAACTTATATACTAGTAAAATTATATAGAAGAATAACTCCATAGTTTCATTGAAATCGCATCAAAACAAAACTCGTACATCTGTCCTTATGATTCCCAACTGGTTCTCACCTCCCCGGAACGAAGTGACTGCTGCCGGCCACGTTTCGGAAATGTGTTGTTTTACAAAAGTTGCAAGTCATTGTTTACTAGTGTTTAAAGTTAGTAACTGATCATGGTTACTTACTGGTCATAGATACTTAAAGTTCAGAGTAAATTACTGGTCATAGATAATTACTGTTCAGTGTTACTTATTGGTCATAGATACTTACTGATCAGAGTTACTTATAGGTCTTAGATACTTACTGATCAGAGTTACTTACTGGTCATAGATACTTACTGATTAGAGTTACTTATAGGTCTTAGATACTTACTGATCAGAGTTACTTACTGGCCATAGATAATTACTGATCATAGTTACTTACTGGTCATAGATAGATTTATTTACTGATCATAGTTAATTGCCGATCATATTTACTTACTGCTTTAGGGTTAATTACTGATCGTAGTTACTCAATGTTCAGAGTTAATTGCTGATCATAGTTACTTAGTGTTCAAAGTTAATTACTGGTCATACTTCTATAAATCTTCCGATCGTTCCTATGGCAAATATATATATGTATATATATAGTCCACCGATCCGCCATGCTCCGACTTATATACTAGTAAAATTATATAGAAGAATAACTCCATAGTTTTATTGTAATAGCTCCAAAACAAATTTCGCACATCTGTGCTTATGATTCCCAACTAGTTCTCACCTCCCCGGAACGAAGTGACTGCTGCCGGCCACGTATCAGATATGTGTTGTGTTTCAAAAGTTGCAAGTCATTGTTTACTAGTGTTCAAAGTTAGTAACTAATCAAACCTACTTGCTGGTCATAGATACTTAGTGCTCATAGTTACTTAATGATTATAGTTATTTGATGTTCATAGTTAATTAATGTTCAGAGATACTTACTGCTAATAGTTAATTGCTGGTTATAGATACTTACTGATCATAGTTACTGATCATACTTACTTACTGGTTATAGATACTTACTGGTTATAGGTACTTTCTGCTTAGAGTTAATTACTTCTCAGAGTTACTTACTGGTCATAGATATTACTGTTCAGACTTACTGCTCATAATTGCTTACTTTTTGTTTAAACTTTTCCGATCGTTCCTATATAATATCGGTTTCCTCGATTAGATTTCTATTAAAGTCTCTTTGGTAATGTAGGCTCCTTTGTTTCCATTTCCATGGTCCTGATTCTGGCATCTCGATTTCTTATTTGTGTCGTGGATCGGATGCTGAATGGCATTGAGCCATTGTTGTTGCCTCAGTTTCTCCACAATTTCTCTGCTCAATTGAGTCCAGGACCATCTGCCCCGAGGAGTGGGAGTGGGAGTGGGAGTATTCAGTTGTCCGCTCTGATTTTTGTCGTTCCAGCAATAAGTGTATATATTCCTCTTGCCAAATGTCACATAATAAGGAGCCGCACGGAACACCTTTTTTCCTCTACCGAAAAGTGCGCCAAAAGGGACTCCTGGGACTCGAAATTCGGGCACACGAGGCAAGAGGCACGAGTCATTGGCAAACACAAAAGGAGACTCGTAGCACGAAAGGACCAAGAATAAGAATAAGAAGCGGATCGAGGGAAAAAAGGAAACAAAATCGCATCGTGGCATGCGTCGGCGGATAAGGTAGCAGGAGTGGGAGATGAGCAGAAGAAAGAGAGGGATCAGGAGCAGGAGTAGGAGCAGAAGAAGGAGCAGGAGAAGGAGCAGGAGAAGGAGCAGGAGAAGGAGCTGTAGAGCCCTCGGGACAGCTGTCGTCGCTCTCATTCCGCAAAAACACCAACACGCAATTCTACACTGCAATCATTTTGAGATTTATTTGAGAGCATAATAATAATAATAAAAATTACAATTATAATTTATATATTTTATATAATAATAAATATATTAATTAATAATAAAAAGTAGTGGCGTCGAAGATAATGAAGTATATCAGTTGGTCCGATTATCCTTTAGCTGCAATATTTTGAAATAATAATAATATATAAAATATAAAAATAATAATAAATATAATAATAATAATAAATATAATAATAATAATAAATATAATAATAATAATAAATATAATAATAATAATAAATATAATAATAATAATAAATATAATAATAATAATAAATATAATAATAATAAATATAATAATAATAATATTAAATATAATAATAATAATAATAAATATAATTATAACCAGTACATAAACCAACAGCCAAGTCGATTTAGCCTTTTCTTTTTGTGCTTCTATTCCTCTGTCCATCTGTCCGTCTGTCCGTCTGTCTGTCCGTCTGTTTGTCCGTCCGTTTAAAAGAAAGAATCTCTGAGAGCCTATAAAATCTAGAGCTACCACATTTTAGGTTTAAAGATTTTTATACACCCATTTCTGCTCCCGAAAATCATGAAAAATCTTAATTAAAGTGTAATAGTAAATTTTCATTTAAACATACAATTTTTATAAAATAATATGATTAATTAATTGAGTTAATTGGTTAATAACCAGAAGAGTAATTAGAAATATAAGTTTTTGCTCATGTTAAGCGTTTGCAACATCTTTGTGTGGCTCAACATGTTTCTATCAACATGTGCTCAATATATTCCTAGCAACATGTGCTGCGCAATTTATGTTCCTTAAATATTTTTTAACATTTTATATATTATTTTGCATTCACTTAAAAAAGAGAAATATTTCAAACTATATTAATTTTCAAAAACCTTAAAACAAATATTTTGTTATACAAACATTTGCAATACAATTTAGACAAATACAAATGTCTTATAAATTTTCTCAGTGTGTAGACATTTTTTTGCGGGGGCGAGCTGAGGATTTCTTAAGGGTCTCTTGGCAGCCAAGGATCTCAGGAGCAAAAAAAATGTATATAAATATAAATAAGTTGAAGGAGTTGCTCAAGTGCCGCCACATGTTGCCTGTTGAAAATTGGGTAACAATTGACGGCCTAATAGGGTTAAGTGCCGGAAATTGCTGAAGACAATGTGAAAATTGTGCCAAAATTGCCACTAAAATAGTTGGGAAAATGTTACTTATATATACTACTTGATAAACTTTGGCTTATTTAAATTAAATATATTTTTATTTTAATTTTTAGGAAGGAAATGGGAAT